TTTTGAGAATGATGAGGGCAATGAATGTACAAATGTGCTTTACACAATTGATGTATGTATGGATTGTGATAAGAGGTGTATGGGCCCCTAATAAAACGATTAAAGAAAATAACATTTCCTTTGTAAAAATAAGGACTCCCTTAATTCAGTCAGAAATTTAAAAATAACTCCTAGAATATACACTTCTATACCTTTTAGTAAAAGTACGGCCAGAAATAATTGGCACCAAAAGATATTTTGAAAATTGCTTATATTTTATACTTATGGGAAGATATTCTCAACTCTCTCTGCCATGGAGTCTGTATTGACTCTGATTGCATAGGACAGGGGAGAACCGCCCCTTGAGTTTCTAAGGCTATAACTCTTTACGGGAGCCCCGTCTTGCTGCCATAACGAGACTGGTAGTTTGGTAGTTTGGAACTGCTGACTGTTTGGATCGCGACCCAGTGCATGGCCACTGTACTATCAGGGCTCCTGTAACGGGCTACACGTTGAGCTGCTAGCCACAAGGTCAGTGGCTTGAGCTTACCAGTTGCTCTGGGAGAAGGGTAAATTAGAGTAATATCATTTGATATGCAGAAACAAGTAAGTCATTTAACCAAGCTGAAAGTAAATAAAAGTTTGGATTAATAGATGTTCATCGTGTTTTTTTTAGATATTTCTGTGTAAATTTTGTCTCTATACCAAACATTACTCACCACAGAACACCATACAAAATGGCAAAACTGGATAGATAAACCTGAATTCCTTGTGGCTCATCATGCTGTAATACAAAAAGATATTAAATGAAGATAGTGTTACAATGACTGTGATAGCAAACAATATGAGCAGATACATGGCTGCCATGCAAACAGTGGAGGTGGGAAGGTGAGTGGGAGCGCACCAGTATCTGTGGTGAGGCAAGACAGTTTCTACAGGGGCACTTGTGTGTGCTACAGATATATAGTAGAGCATGTAAGGGGCAAAGTTATGAAAAACTCTTAGCTCTAACCAAACACCTTAAAGGAATGAGGCACAGGATTTGGGGACTTAGAACCACAGTTTGGGGGGACATGTTTGCAAATTGGCATAACATCGTCCATAAGGATAATGCTCTGCATTCTCTGATAAGTAGTGACTGGAGTCTTTAATGCTTGTGAGTGGTTATCTAAGATGCACTATAGTCTTTCCCTGTCCAGAGCAGACTGAATTACTCAAGGAAACAATTAGTCCAAAGGACTCATGGACCACAGGAATCACGGCCTCCACTAACCTGAGACCAGAAGAACTAGATGGTGTCTGGCTACCACTACTGACCGCTCTAATTGGGACCACAGTAGAAGGTCCTGGGCAGAGAGGGAGAAAAAATGTAGAACAAAATTCCAGTTAATTATAAATCCAAGAGACTGGCAGAACCCCAAGACGGTGGCCCTTGGATACCCTTCAAGCTTGGAACTGAATCTACCCCTGAAGATGAACTTTCAACCAGGCCTATAACATAAGAAACACCACCAGGGAGGAAGGTAATGACCAGTAAAAGCAACCAAACACAACCCAAAGGGCAGTATCTGCCGCAAACTAAGCTCAGAAGGTAGAAAGGGGCAGGAAAGGGTGGATGGAAATGAGGAGCCCAGGAAGTGGGAAGAGTGCTGTCATTAAAGAAAGTGTGTACATTTTTTAAAGGATAACAATTTGCTCTCTAAACTTTCATTGAAACTATAATAAAATCTTAAGATATATATGTATATATTAATCTTCCTAAAGCAATGCAAATATTTCTCGTTAAACTGAGAAATTAATGTGTTTAAAATGAAGTATAATTAACATGGCCTATATATTTTCTAAGTACTTGTTTATCTTGTTCAGGAATTAGTCTATTAGCCATAAGGACATGCTGTGAAAATTAATCTTCCTACTACTCACCGCCATTGAGTCCATGGTGATTCATAGCCACCCCATACACAGAACTGCCTCTTTGGAGTTTTTGAGACTAACTGCTTATGGGAGTAGAAAGCCTTATTTTTCTCCCAAGGAGAGATGCTGGTGTTTCTTCTTCTTCTTTTTTTTATGCGCCAGGACCAACAATCACTAGCAGCCCCATACACAGAACTGCCTCTTTGGAGTTTTTG